ATATATATATATATATATATATATATTTATCTACATATATCTATATAGATAGATATATATCTATATAGATAGATAAATAAACACACCATGATTATGTCATTGTCATCACTATAAATCTGTTAACCTATTTATAGTTGCCATTCTGAAGAGTAAATCTGGAATCCCCATTTTCTATATTACGCACAGGTGTACAGCAGTATGGAGCAGCTTTCCCAGCTAGAGCAGAAGGCCCCTTCTACATCCCAAGACAGCAGCAAGCAAGATAGATCTGAAAGGACAAGCAAGAGAGAGACCCTTGGAGGTGTGACCCTGAGAGATCGCTGCTGGAGGACTGTGTCTCCTGAGATGTAAGTGGGTTCCACCTATTCGCTTGTATTTCTTGGACTCCAGTCATTGATTGTTAGAAAAACAGCCAATTAGAAGCTTTCTGATTTGACCTAATGGTAACAGATGAGGCTTCTTGTTGCAGGAAACATTTTTCGGATTCAGTCGACGCTGACTCCAGCCCCCCATTAGCTGCGAGGCGACGATTCTCTGCCCTGGTGGACACCGCCCGTTTCGTGGCCCCTCTGGAAGGGGAAGGAGAGTTTAGGGTGAGGAGCAGCAGTGGAACTCAGCATGGCCAAAGTAAAATTCCCCTGGGAGAGCTAGAACCAGGTGAGTGACTAGTATAGTGACGTCACTGAAATTCACTATATGGCCAAACGTTTGTGAGCACTTGGCCATCACACCAATATCCTTTGGGAAAGCTTTCCACAAGATTTTGGAGTCTGCCTCTAGGAATTTGTGCACATGCAGTTAAAAGAATATTTGGGAGGTCAGGTACTGATGTTGGCTTCCAGATTCTTTCCAAAGGTGGTTAGTTGGGTTGCAGTCAGAGCTTTGTACAGGCCATTGGTGGTCTTCTATACCAAACTCATCAAACCATATCTGTATGGAGCTAGCTTTGTGTCCATGGAGGTCTGGTACTGATGTTGGCTCCCAGATGGTGTTCATATTATTTCCAAAGGTGGCCAGTTTGGTTGCAGTTAGAGCTCTGTAGAGGCCATTGGTGGTCTTCTATACCCTTGGTTTTTAACTGGTGGGTCGTGACCCAAAAGTGGGTCGCGCCCCTGTGTTCAGTGGGTCTCCACTTTTCTAGATGAGAGGCTTTTCAGCCTCCCACTAGCGCAGCACTGTCAGTTCTCTTGCTGAGTAGCCATTCATATGCTGGTCGGCGCCGAGTGTCAGCTTGAGGTGGGCTGGAGCTATGACGGCGAGGGAGCTCCATCCATACATGCATTGCTTACAGCTTTTTGCACGTCTTGGAGAGGTGGCTGGATCGGAGTGACGTCATGTTCTGGCTCCCGGCACCTCTACAGGGCATGCAAGCAATGCACAAATGGAGCTTTGTCACAGCACAGCGGCCCATACTGGACCCCAGTCTGAGGATCTACTCCAGTTTTCGTACGGTAGAGAGACTGGCTGGATCTGAAAAAAAAAATGTAAAACATTGCTTCTTTTCTGCAGTGTATGTGTGTGTGAGAATGTGTCTGCAGTTGTGTGTGTCTGTCAATGTTTTTGAGGGTCTGTTCACACTAGTAAAGTGCGTGAATCATTTGAATGGCACCCCAAATGTACCTCCTTCCCACAGTTCAATTGCCCGCACCGGAACGCTCGGTACCGCAATGTCGTGCGTTCCATTGCAGGGCGACTTGGGTTGCAACTTAATGACCAAGGACAAATGTGGGTCCTGAGGTTACACAGGTTGAGGACTACTATTCTATACCAAACTCATCAAACCATGTCTGTGTGGAGCTGGCTTTGTATCCAGGGATGTCAGGTACTGATGTTGGGTCCCAGATGGTGTTCAGATTCTTTCCAAAGGTGGTCAGTTGCGGTCAGAGCTCTGGTTGCGGTCATGGCTCTGTACAGGCCATTGGCTGTCTGCTATACCAAACTCATCAAACCATGTCTGTATGGAGCTGGCTTTGTGTCCAGAGGTAAAATCATACCGGAACAGAAAGTTTCTTCACCAAACTGTAGTCACAAGCGTTAGAAGCTCAAAATTATATAAATGTCTTTGTATGCTGTGGTATTAACCAGCACCCTTCACTGGAAAGTTGGAAACCCATATATTTGGAGGGGTGTCCACATACTTTTCATATCATATAGTGCTTACAATAAATGGAATGAGTATCCTGCAGCTGGCAAGTAAGTTCACTTCCTTCAGGGTTGGTACGCTACATCTTCAGATGATTTCAAGGGCCAGCCTGCCCAAACCTGACATAAGTGTAACATTTGGATAATACCAGATTTTGGCCACTAGATGGAGCTGAGGAGCATAGGAAACAAATACTTCTTTCCTATGCTCCTCACCGCCATCTAGTGGCCATAATGCAGTATTATCCAAATGCTCAACATTCAACCTGAAAAGAACATAAATTAAGGGTGTTCAATTTTTCCTTATTTTGCACAGAACAAATGTTCACAGAGATTTATAGGGCAAATTGTTTATAAATAGACCCCACAAACTCTATTTCTGGCTTAATTTTCTTTACTTCTCCCATCATCCAGGAGACAAGTCTTCAGACTCTCAAGGACACCAGGATGCAGACTCCTCCCCTCGTGCCACCAATGATCTTGTTTTGCGTAGGGCTCGTCACCAGCATCTATCCGGGGACAGTGACCGGAGGAGAGCCGGAGGGAAGGTCATAAAGTCGGCTTCCACCACTGCACTTTCCGTGATGATTCCTGCAGGTGCCATTTTTGCCTTTTTTTTATACTTTTATGTGATACCTTTACTATGTGTGTGTGTTTACATTCTGTGAGGGGGATCAAATCATTGGTTGCCATGCAGCTGTGCATGGCAACCAATCAGCTTCTCTCTTCAGTTTGTTCAGTTAAGATTTGAAAATGAAAGATAGAAGCTGATTGGTTGCCGTGCACAGCTGCTCCAGATTTTGTCTGCTCCAGTTTTGTTCAATTCCCTTCCGTGTGTTTTACTATATCGTTTCAAAGGGCAAATCCACCCAAAACTGATAAATGATACGATGATCGAAACCTGGAGATCACATGACCATCACACACATGATGCCTAAAAGTAGTCTTACTTGCTCATTGCTCGACATAAGTTCTTTTTTTCTGTTCTGAAGAGAATCTTTCTCAAATTAAAGCTGACAGAGAACAATTAAAAGAGAACTATGGGGTAAGTGTTTTTGCCCATAGTTCTCCTTAGGGTAACGGGAGGACACAAACTAGCGTCCTCCCGTCACCCTAGGCTCAGTATACTGCAAGCTACAGCTCACGGTATACTGAGACCGACGCAGCCAGGGCGGATCCTGACAATGCTGTCGAGATCCTCCCAGCTGCATGAGTGACAGCTGGCTCTGCCTATCTGGAGGCAGAGCAAGCTGTGCCCTCCCCTGTCCATTCTTCCAGTCAGCGCTGGAGGAGAGGGGGAATCCCTGCAGGGAGCCGTGAGTGACAGTCACGGCTCTCTGCAGGGACAGGATCGAGAAGTGAGCCAGCGACGGTATGTGTTCGCTCACCTCCCGATCTATTGAGCCGACCTGTGACAGTCTCATTGTCACAGGTCGGCTACAACTATAGGATGAGCGATTTTCACTCGCCTCATAGTTCTCCTTTTAATATAGTTTTTGTGTTTAACAATGCAAAATAAAAACAAAACAACTAAATGTACTATTATCTACAGCTATTACACGTGTATCAAATATTTATTTATATTAGCTTTCTGTAGTCCTCCCCACAACAACACTCAGACTGGGAAGGGGGGGGGGGTACAGTCAGCAGGCTGGAGCACAAACAAAGGTGGAGTGGATACTCTAGCAAAAGTATCAGCTTCTGGTGGTGTCACCCTCCTGGCAGTGCAGTGTGGCAGAGGATTATGAATCACTAGATTGGCTGAACAGAATTCTATAGATTTTACCACTCGTACTGTTTCAGCCGACTGAGTCTCATCCATTTGGGACCTGTACTTCTAGTCTTGACTTTGTAGTTCAATTAGACCTGGTTCACGCATCTAGGCATTTGTGAGCAGTAGGGATGCCCAACACAAGAAACTCCATTATTTTCAACGGCCCCTGTACACACCTGAGCAGCAAAACACCAAAAGCAGCAAAAGGTACATGAGCTTCTTCTGGCAGTTTCAGTCCCGTTCCCCCCCATAGACTTCAATGGAAACACCAGAAAACGCGCGGCAGAAGCATGATGTACATATTCCCAGATAGCAAGGGTAACTTGCCACAAACTTGTGCCAGGGTTACATTGTAATTCTTGTTAACTTGCAGCACACATTCCTGGCAAGTTGTAGGCCTCATTCACACACAACGCAAGCAAAATTGTATATTGCGTATATACGCGTCTATGCGTATATATACGCGCGTCTATGCGTGTGTATACGAGCGTATATATGCGTGCACTATATGCAATCCCAGAATGCATCACTCGTAATGGAATTTTTAATGTGCTGTACGCGCGTATACGCGCATACAGACGCATATATGCGCGTAAATACGCAGAGATACGCTGCCCGGACGCATCTCTGTTCCATTCTGTTTTTGCGCATATATACGCTATGCAAATATACGGCTCTATACGCGGCTGTGTGTATGGAGCCATTTATTTGCATAGGTTGCATATGGTACAATACGCACGTACGCGCGTTTACGCGCGCATACGTGCGGCAGTGTGAATGAGGCCGTAGACTTGCGGAACACTTGCAGCACAAGTTCTAGGTGACACTTTTTGATTTTGTAGCAGATTTTGCTTGGCAAGTCTACAGCAAGAGTCCTGCAGGGCTTAGAAAGAGCTCTGCGAGTGTTACAGCACTTTTGCAAAGCACATTGATGTGGAGACTTGCAATGCAGGCTTGCTGTAATTGTGCAACAAAATTGTGAAGCTTGGCAAGTCTGCAATAGTTTAGCAAGTCATTTTCAAACTTGCAGCTCAATTGTTTGCTATCTGGGTGTTTGTGTGCATTTTTGTGCATGTGTACGCGCACTCATCCATTGACTGCTTTGACTCTTCAGCTGCCAGTCGAAACATGCGTCTTCTGGAAAGCGTGTAAAAATGTGCATAAAAGGTGCAAATAACCGCACGCTGAACCCACCAGTGGTGTATCTAGGTTTTTCGCTGCCCCAGGCAAGACTCGCTTCGGCCGCCCCCAACAGCACAACCCCATCCCCCCTCCCTCCCCGGGCTAACCTGCACACGTGACGCCGATCCAATCACCTCGCCACTTCCTGGGTCACAGAGCCGGTGTTCGCACTGCCCCCCGGGCTGACATGCACCCGTGACGCCGATCCAATCACCTCGCCACTTCCGGGGTCACAGAGCCGCTGTTCGCCCGCTGCAGTAGGATCGTTTCAGTGGCCGCCGGCTGCTCTTCAATCTTCGGGTCAGTACCTCACCATTGTCTACGCTGTCGGCCTCCCGCCCTCTTAACAAGCACAAGCAGGCAGGCCGCCCTCCACCCCCAAACAAAAACGTGCTCCCGCTCTCCCACCCTTTCCACACCGTAGAACAAGGCGTTTGACTACGGCCGCCCCCCCAGCAAGGTGCCTCCCTAGGCAAACGCCTTGTTTGCCTCGCCATAAATACGCCCCTGGAACCCACGTGTACAAACGGATGAAACTGATGCCGCCTAGCTGTGAACCAGGCCTTAGATAAGTGCAGTGCCTCTTCACACACTGAGTGGAACTACCAAATCCATTGTTTGATGCCCATTACAAGCCAATGTTTGGTGCTGACAGTGGACCGGTTTTGCTGGCAAAGTTTACAGATACTGCTGCTGCATGACATATTCAGTTTGTGAGCAATAACTCATGCATCATCAGGTATCCTCCCCATTGGATGCTGCCATCTTGCCTCCTGAATACCATAGAGATTGTAATACCAGTGTGTCCCTCATCAGAGACCCCTCTGCCCTTCCTGTGTAAGTCGTAGCTCTCTGCGGGTCAATAGGAGTCTTCAGCAGTCAGTGATATTGGTTACAGATGGCATTATAGATCATATGATTATATATTGTCTCTATGTGACGTATGAAAGCTTATAATTGGTTTCTGTCTCTCCCATGCAGTGGAACAGCACACCAGCTCCCCACTGGTCAGTCCAATGTCCCCCCGCTCATTGTCATCCAATCCCTCCTCCCGGGACTCCTCGCCCAGCCGTGACTACACCCCTGCCGTCAGCAGCTTGCGCTCCCCCATCACCATCCAGCGGTCAGGGAAGAAGTATGGCTTCACTCTCAGGGCTATACGAGTCTACATGGGGGAGAGCGATGTGTACAGTGTTCAGCACATTGTCTGGGTGAGTAACTGGAAGCAAGCTAGTGGTACACCTTCGTACTCAGGAAAGCTCATCTGAACTGCCACCCATTGCTACCCGTGGAGCCATTCACACTGCAGCACTAGTGGTACAATACTACAAGGGGCAAATGATCAAACTGCTGGTTGCTGCAGCTTGGATGCACATTCTATAGGGGGGACGGATAGGTTTCTTATTAAGCTGAACAAGGCAAAACTCTCAATCCTCCCATCCATACTAACAGCTTGGATGAGGAAAACCCCCCCCCCCCCTTCCTTGGCCTATTGTATTCTGGCAAAAATCTGGTTGATCTTTTTATAATTCCAATTGGCTTCTTGTTCTGCCTCTCCATCCTTTTAAAAAAAAAGATACTTCTATGTATGGGGTGCACCTTCACCCCCTGCTCTCTACTAGCCCTTAGTGCTATCACATGGGTATGTACCTTGTCATATGTAAATACCGTATTTTAGAACGTCATCATTTGTCTAGGATCTTATTGAGGTTGGAGTGTCTCCTGCCTTAAGCTAGGCATACACATAAAGATCTTCTCTAGTCAGCCCATGGGCTGAACGAGATAGAATCACTCGATTGCCCTATCCACGCTAAGCAGCATGGAAGGAGGTAAGGATGCACCGATACCGGTATTTCGGTATCGAGTGCGAGTACCGATATTTTTCTTTCGGTACTCGCCGATAGCAAATACCATTACCGGAAGTCCCATTAAGGAAGCCAGGCGGCGTGTAATGACTGGCCACCTGGCTTCCTGATTAGCCGTGAAGCTGGGCGACGTGTAAAGGCTCGCTTCCCGATTGGCAGGGAAGCCGTCCCCATGCTTCTCGTCACTATGTGACGAGAAAGCATGGAGCCAGCTTCCTGATTGGCCGGGAAGCCGGCTCCATGCTCCCTCATCAGGAGGTGACGAGGGAGCATAAAGCCGGCTTCCTGGCCAATCAGAAAGCCAGGTGCCGCGTCATTACACGGCACCCTGGCTTCCTGATTTGGCCAGCTTCCTGACCTATCAGGTAGCTAGGCAGCGAGTCATTACACACTGCTCGGCTTCCTGATTGACCGGGAAGCCGGCTCCATGCTCTCTCGTCAAAAGTTACGAAGGAGCATGGAGCCT